GCGGCCACACGGCCGCTGGTTTTGTGGGGTGACAGGCGTGCGGTAACCGGCCGGGTCCGCTGGGTGCACTTAGGGTTCTGGAAGGGGTTTTGACGGCGTGCCCTGCAGGAGGCACTTGAAGAAACCATGTGGATTAGTTACTGATTAAAAGATGGGAAGCCAAGTAGGAATAAATGGGCTTCTCGGCAGAGACCGGGAGCGTCACCAGGTGGGTCCCAAAGGCTCCTCTGCTGTAATCTGCTCACAGGCATTAAAGTCCCGAGAAAGGAAACAAGGATGAGAAATTGCAACCAGAAGCAAATTCAAGGCAATAACGAAGGTGCCTTAAAAGGATCTTGTAACACTAAGTGGGCAATAAAGTGAAGTTCAGTGTTAAATAACTGGAAAGTCACACACACGTGGAAAACCACCTTAACTAATGTATTTATATATATGTATCTGTATTGTCATTTAGGCAAAATTTTTGGAGGGTCGATATTTCTGTGAAAATGTCATGATTGGCAGCTGTCAAAAAGGGGTAGAAAGTTACAAACTAACTAGGACAGCACGAAAGAACAAGACAATCACCCCTTGACCACCCCAGTAGACTGTATTTTCAGTGCTGCATGCAGTTCTGGTTCCCTCCATCACAGAAAGCAGATTGTGAAATTGGAAAAAGAGTGCTATATGAGAGATATGGAATGGTTTCAGAATAAAGGAAGACCAAATAGAGTAGGACTTGTGTCATCTTGTTGAAGCAGTGCACTAACGTCTTCATTTAATTTTTTAGAATGATAATAAAGAAAAAGAGAAAAGAAGTTCATGAGGAACCTGTACAGAAAAGAAAAAAGGTGAAAAGTAGTAGGAGCCAGCCTGTCATTAAAATTGAGAAAGGTGTTCAAACTGCCATTAAAACTGAGGATGATGACAAGCTTGAGATGAAAACAAAGGTAAGGAAAAAGGAAAATTTAAAAGATGATGAATGTTTAAACCAATTAGAACTGAAGAAGAAAAACAAGAAAAAGAAAGTTGGCTCTGAATTACTGGAAGAAGCACATTCAGAAAGCTTTGTGAATGTAGAAGGCCATCTGGATTCAGAACCTCAAGAAGAATCAGAGGAACATACTAAGATTCTCAAAAAGAAGAAGAAAAAAGTCCAATGTCATTCCTCCTTATCATTGGAGAATAATGAGAGTAGTGATAGGGAGCTTTCAAATCATCATACAGGTGGTACTAAGGAAAATGAATTTGCTTTTAAAAAAAGCAGAAAGAATACTGCTTTGAATTTGGAACTGGATGGTGAAGTAACTAAGAAAAAAAAGAAGAAAGGCATTTTTTCTTTTTCATTAGAGGACATCCAGGACAGTGAACATAAACAGTCTGAAAAAGTTCGTAAAAAAACACACAAATACATTTCACAAGAAAAAGCTTTTACAGGCAAAAACCATGGAACAGAAATTACCCAGAATGGTGGGGAGAGTTACGTGAGAAGAAACAAGAGGAAGAAAAAGAAAGACAAGTCTGACTCCTTTTTACCACTAGCAGATAAACAGGACACCATCTATGGAATTGACGATAGCCCCATTGCATTAAGTGACTTCAGAAAATGGCAAAGGAAGAATTCCCAGGGAATTGCATTGACAAATAGAGAGGAAGAGGACACTACTGAGAACTCTGGAAGTATCAGAGACACCAAGAGGAAGAAGAGAAGCAAAGCTGTTTCTTCCTTGACATGTGAAGGTAATAAAGACTGCAGTCAGAGAGTTTCTGATAAGCATCTCCCAGCACAGCAGGAAGTTGAGTCTGAGGAAGAAGAGCTTTCTGGAAAAAAAAGCAGGAAGAATATCAAGAAAAAGAAAAAGAAGATTCAGAAAGAGGAGGAACCAACATATTCAAAAGTTTCTTTAAACAATGACAGTGCATCTAAAAGCCAAAAAGTAAAGCTACTAGAAAGCAGTAAAAAGAACAAGGAGAGCGAAATGAAGCGAGCTGAATGTGTCACAGAGGACATTGTAGAGAGGGTATTATGCAATAGTAATCATATGCTCTGTGACAGAAAAAGAAAAAAAGAAGTACCACAGGACTTTGCTGCAGAACCAGGTTCAAAAGCAAATACAAAAAAGAAAAGGACCAAAAGAGAAGACATGGGAAATGAGGGACAGGTAAGTTGTAAAGAAGAGGGGATCTTTGCACCCTCCTGCTTCTTAGGTGTACAGGTTCCTATTTTGCAGGCTGTTCTGTCTGTTCAGACCCTTAGGTTGCATTTAGGTCAGTAGGGGCCTCCTCTAGGTTTTGAGAAGCAGGATCAGCTAAGCTACCGATTTCAGTTGTGAAATGTGGGAAAGTATTTTTTAATGCCTACTGCTGTAGGCACCTAGTGTTTCAGTTGTGAAAATGTCAGTATTACAACTAACTGCAAGTATTGGCACAGAAAGAAAACTAGTTCGTACTGTCATGAAGGTGTTCTCTCCCTCCTGCAGTTGCTCTTAGTAAAGTGGCAACAACACTCCTATAAAATAGGATTTTAATACCATGTAATTACCGGAGCAGGTTGGTAACATTGGCAGCCCGAGTGCATCTAACAGTGTTATTAGGCTTTTCCTCAAGCTTTTGCTGCTATTAATGCTGGAATTGTGTAGTGTTAGAAACAAGGGGGAAATGGAGCCAAAACCTGTTGTCTAACTTGGACAAAGCTTTAGAGAAAATCTTAAGAATCATAAGCGTAGGCTAGGCCTACAGCATTTATGTATAAATTCTGATAGAAAAATACTAGAGAACAACCTAAACAAATTCTTAATTAAAATAACTCTATGCAAGAAAATAAATAGATATAAGAGCTGTGTAAATTATAACTGAAGGTAGCTGGAATTGTATCCAGACTGACAGGAAATCCCATCCCAGAGTCTTGCAGTACTGCCATTTCTGAGGTGAAACAAACATGGAGAGGAACTGATGAAAGATTTGAAATACAGAGGTTAATACAGCGGTTTCTTTGAC